GCACTATTGTGGTGAGCAAAAAAAGAAAACAGTTTATCCTCCTATATGAAAGACTACATATTTCATGTAATCAGTTTTCTTTTATTTTTGCTTTGTTAATGTTTTTCTCTGTAAAAAGAAGGGTTCGCACCCACCCCATGAACAGCAGATTCAGTGACTTTCAAGGTCTTTTTAAAGCACCATTAATTTTATATCAAGCACCTTTGTAGATCATATCCCAGCATATACAGCGTCATTAAAGTCCTTAACAATTAACAATTCACTTACACTTCATAGTTACGTTATACATGTCAGAGTAATTTAAAAAATGTACAAAGAACTTCAATAAAACGTGTTGAATTCAATACTGGTAATTATGGTTGGGCGATGTCGACCAATTTGGAATCGTACGATGTCTAATGTAAAATATTGCGTTGGACGATGGCATCGTCGTCACAGGTGGAGGTAAATTAATTATTCATGATTAATTAAATTATTCAAAACGAATTAATTATTTGTGGTCAACCGCTTCAACTACCTGACCCACATGGTATTTGTTTTACCCAAAAACAAATCATAAATAAATAAAGATAACTTGAACACAAATGATCACTTTTTCCGCAGGACTCTGGCATGAGTGATCTGTGTCGTTATAATCACGTCGACAAACTTGGTCTGTAAAAAAGATGCACAACCAACAACAACCAGCCAACAGTATCTGAGCTTTTCACTAAAATTACTAAGTACACATGTGAAAGTGAAAGATTGAAGCAGTTTACTGACGGTGTGACACGTTACCTGATAGATTCAAAAGACAGAAGAGTCATTAAATAGAGACAAGATAGTAAGACCCGATCCAGCGGTACATTATTGATAAACTGTCCAACGTGCAGTGCTTTCTGGAGCTCAGATGAGTGCATGACAGTGTGTGTGGCTGTGTCTGTGTGTGGTCACGTGATGTGAATTTTCAGCGGACGGAGGGCAGTTCAGAAATGCTAGGTAAAACAATAATTTTTGTTCTAAAATGCCATTTTAAAACTAAGACGTATGAGTGTAAACGGGGGCTGAGTATGTATTTTTCGTGAGCAGGTTTGCGACGGGGGGCGGAGGATTGCGATGCCGGCTCGGCATCATGTTGTCTATCGGCCATCAGCGATGGACGGTGGCATCGTCTATCGGGCCATCCCTACTGGTAATATTCAAAGGCAGTTTCGGAAATATTGATAAAATGTGCATTGTTTGTCTGTGTTATTTTACAATATTTTTATTCAAGAATGTCTCAGTTTTTTTTCTTTCTGTATTCAATAGGGATGTAACGGTATCAGAATTTCACGGTACGGTTATACCTCGATATGAATGTCACGGTACGGTATTTATTGAATCATTTACAGGAAAAAACAAAACTTATGAAAATACTCCAAAAAAGTGCCAAAAGTGTCAATGACATACAAATTAGTCATCTATCTGTAAGCTTTGAAACAGGAACTTCAATTTTAATAACAAAAAAATATTAAACCATGTAAAAAAATAAAGTTTCAATTTAGTATTGTTGAAAACTCATCACATTCAACATTTAATCACTCACTCACTTAGATAGAGATGGGTTTAAAGGAAAATTATCATATAAATATAATCTGGTAAAAGCTGGTATCTCTGGGTATTTACAATGTCCCCTGCAACAGAAAAAACCCTCTCATTTGGGACTGAGGTTTCTGGGACAAGAGAGATATGACTTGGCCCAGGTTGACAGCAGTGGGTAACGTTGTGCATTGTCTTTCCCCCACTTGAGAGGACAAACCATGAGTGAGATAGAGGTCTCATGTCTGCATCAATCTGAACAGTGTGCTGACAACACCGCTATTCAGTACTCGCGCGACAACACAGCTGATAAGAACTCGCGCGACAACACCGTTATTCAGTACGCGCGCGACAACACAGCTGATAATAACTCGCGCGGCAACACCGCTATTCAGTACGCACGCGGCGACAACACCCGCTTTAGAGTTTTCCAGCTCTTTTTCATCCCCGCTTCTAGCAGCACACTCCATTTCCGCATTACTGGATCTGTAGCGACAACAGACCGCAAGGGATGATGGTCAAGCATGGGCTGATGGGAATTGTAGTTTTCGCTACCTCCCATTCGCTTCATTCGCCTGAGCACATTTTCTCAGAAGACCTATAGTTTTACCGAGTCATGCGACTGCGGTAATATCGAAAAAAAAATTAATATTGCGGTATGACAGTATTTACAATACCGTTACATCCCTAGTATTCAACAACGGGGTTGAAAAAAACATATAAGCAAATTAATTTAAAATTTAATTTAAGCACTTAAACGGACCTATGTTTGTCTTTACTTACTTTCCAGGCCTTGAATCCATGTCTGAAATTCAAGTATTTTCCAGAAGTTTCATCAGATAACCTGTCCATCTTTACATGTTTTGACTGTGAAATCAGGGCAGACCTAAAAATGGTCAGAACCACTAGACGCAAACCAGTGTCATGATCCCAGCAGGCAGTGTTTTTTTCATACCTTTGATGAGCAGTCGATCTCTGATGGACACTCTATGAGCGGCATCGTTAGAGCCTGCAGGGGTCCGGCCGGCCCTTACGCCCTCCTCCCTCTTCAGCTTACTGGCTAACGTCAGCATCCCCACAGACCAACATACACACCCTAACACACCTGTGAGGAACACAAATACACACAATGACCATCAGTGAACATGAAACACAAGTGAAAGTATTAAGAAAACATATATATCCGCTTTATTATAATTATTATAACTTAAACTTTATCTTAGAAACATTTCTAACGTTCGTTAAGTTGAACTTACCTAACTAAAATGAAAACAGCACTCCTTTTCACATTTTTTCTCCTTTTTTTCAGTTATTCTTCTAAAAGGTAGTTAACTAATGTAGGTAACAGAAAAAGTTTACAGTAAGCAATACTTACTGTAAAATATTACCATAAAAACCTAAAAAATAAATAACAAGTAAATCTATATTAAAAGTGTCATAAAAACATTAAAAACATAGCAAAACTATAGTGATGCTAACTACAAACTACATAACTTTTACATTTTAATATTATAGAGCAGGGGTCACCAAACCTGTTCCTGGAGGGCCGGTGTCCTGTAGATCTTAGCTCCAACCCTAATCAAACACACCTGCACAAGCTAATCAAGGTCTTATTATCCATACTCAAAACATACAGGCATGTGTTTTGAAGCAAGTTGGAGCTAAACCCTGCATGGACACGGGCCCTCCAGGACCGAGATTGGTAACCCTATGATATAGAGTCTAGATACAAAAACAAGACTGGTAAACATTACACTGATTTTGCATTATTAGTTTAAACTTTGAAATATGAAATATTTATTGATGTTAATAATTTGTTGTGACAGCTATTGTTTAAGACAGTAACTAAGTTCTTTGCATTGAACATATTTTAGCTTTAGCATTCTTGTTATACGATTAAGCTCAAAAGACCTATGATGTTATTATACATGACAGACTGTCCTTTAATATCATTTGTAAACCATTATAACTTTGTTTGTAGAATAATAACACTACTACTGCTATATTTGAATAACAACAAATATGGGTGTTATAAACACATGTTTTAATAAAGTTGCTGTTGAAATCTGACTTATTAGCCCCCTTTGAATTTGTTTTTCATTTTTAAATATTTCCCAAATGATGTTTAACAGAGCAAGCAAATGTTCACAGTATGTCTGATGTTTTTTTTTCTTCTGGAGTAAGTCTTATTTGTAGTATTTCTGCTAGAATAAAAGCAGTTTTTAATATTTAAAAAATCAATTTAAGGTTAAACTTATTAGACCCTTAATACTAGTGTCTTGAAAATTCTCTAGTAAAATAGTATGTACTGTCATCATGGAAAATACAAAAGAAATAAGTTAAATAGAGATGAGTTGTTTCCTATTGTTTAGAAATGTGTTGAAAAAAAAGTTTCTCTGTTCAACAGAAATTGGGGAAGAAAAGATACAGGGGGACTAATAATTCTTCAACTGTATGTTATTATACTGGAATAAATACAAAGGTACGAAATCTCTAATGCGAATTGTATTGGCATGTCATTGGCTTCACAGTAATACCATACCACTGTAACTTACTACAAATAAAGTATAAAGCTTCTTTCTAAACATGTACTGAAATAAAGCGATGGCTCATTTTAAATGCCTTGGAATACCACGGTAATACCATAGTAGATGAATAGAGCGTTCTGTCAGCACAGCTGTATAAATAAAAGTAGCATGTTATTACCATCTGTTACCCTCATTCTAATGCCATTACAAAACGTCCTTTAATGAAATATTAAAACTATAACACAACTTCTATGTTGTATGGTCTATAATAAGAACTCAATGTGCAGATAACTTAGCATGACTTAAATCCATTCAAACTTTCATATTCACCAGTTAGTGTCACCAGGCGTTATTTTGCTAACATGTTTACTAGCAGCTACAATCTAATCCTCATCGCTCAGGGCATAATTTATACCAGGATTCAGCTAAATATTTTCGTACACAATTAAATATATTGTCTAAAAGGTATTTACATTCATAACACAACTCTAAATATGTGAAATAACTCGGCTGCGATCGATAATGCACTTACCTGCCGCTGTCAGAGTGACTGAACTGCCCTGTTTACACCATAATCGGGACACCAGACGTGAATTTTGCACGTTTTCCCCCCAAAACAACTTCAAGATAAAATATGCTGAACGTCGATAAAAGAAACAAAATTGAGTGGAACGATGCGAGGATTAGTTCCGCCGAGTTTAATGATTTCCGCTGCCTGAGCGGTTTAGAAGCCGGAAGTTGTTCCGTTCATTTAATAAGAGTTCCGTATGGAATCAAACGCCAGAAATAAAATTCCGCCCTTATTTTGTACAAAGCCCAAATGAGATTTTGAGGCACTTAACTTTACAGCACTTTAGCTAATTCTTTTATGGAGTTCTTTGCAATATTAAACCCATGACACAGTAAATCCAAGCGTGGTGTTAAGTGAAGTGTTTATTGTTCAAACGCTTCAGAGCAGAGATACAAAACATGCTTTGATGCTGTTCGATGGAGCTGTTGGTTTGAAGGATCATGTCAGGATTTACGCGGTTTAGAGGCTAATATATAAAAATATTTTACTATCACTGTTAATTCTGTGTCAGTCGACGAGGCTCCCATTGCTTCCAACAACCTGAAAAAAAAACTAATTTTAGAATCATATTAAATAATTATTTTTAAAAGGCAATTCATATATATATATACATACGGAATATATATATATATATATATATATATATATATATATATATATATATATATATATATATATATATATATATATATATATATATATATATATATATATATATATATATACACACAAACACACAGTTGAAGTCAGAATTATTAAACCCCCAGAATTATTAAACCCCGTTTATTTTTCCCCAATTTCTGTTTAATGTTAACGGAGAGAAGATTTTTTTAAGCATTTCTAAACATAATAGTTTTAATAACTTGTCTCTAATAACTGATTTATTTTATCTTTGTCATGATGACAGTAAATAATATTTGACTAGATATTTTTCAAGACACTTCTATACAGATTAAAGTCACTTTTAAAGGCTTAACTAGGTTAATTAGGTTAACTAGGCAGGTTGTGTAATAAGGTAAGTTATTGTTTAATGATGGTTTGTTCTGTAGACTATCGGGAAAATATATAGCTTAAAAGGGCTAATAATTAAACTAAAAACTGCTTTTATTCTCGCTGAAATAAAACAAATAAGACTTTCTCCAGAAAAAAAATATATTATCAGACATACTGTGAAAAATTTCCCTGCTCTGTTAAACATCATTTGGGAAATATTTTAAAAAGAAAAGGGGTTTACTAATTCTCATTTCATATTTCGATAATCAATTTATTTGTTTAAATAAATGAAGTAAACCGTGCATCTGTGATCATCTGTTCCCTAAAGTACATATAATGCTGGGCAAAAATTAATCATTATTAATCTCATCCAAAATAAAAGTTTGTTTCGACATGACTTAAATGTGTGTTCTGTGTATTTTAATTGTGTCTATAAATACAGACATGCATGAATATATTTGACTAAATGTTTATTTATATTTAGATAAAATATGTGTGTATTATACAAATTGGCAGTGCAGTGGCGCAGTGGGTAGCGCTGTCATCTCACACCAAGAAGGTTGATGCTTCAATTCCTAGCTGGGTCAGTTGGCATTTTCTGTGTGGAGTTTGCATGTTCTCCCTGAGTTGGCGTTGGTTACCTCCGGGTGCTCTGGTTTCTACCAAAGACATGCGCTATAGGTGAATTGAATAAGCTAAATTGGCTGTGGTGTATGTGTGTGAATGAGTGTGTATGGATTTTTCCAAGTACTGGGTTGCAGCTGAAAGGGCATCCGAGTGTAAAACATATGTTGTTGTTGGCAGTTCATTCTGCTGTGGCGACCCCTGATGAATAAAGGGACTAAGCCGATTAGAAAATGAATGAATGAATGAATGATAACAAATTGTTTTGTATAGTTTTGTTTTTATGTTTGTGTAATACATTGTAAATATATATAATACACACACATATATTATGTCAAAACAAACTTTTATTTTGTATGTGATTAATCCTTGGCCAGCACTAGTTAAATATTTACTTTTACCTGTCAGTGATGGTCTTTGACAGTTTCTTGGCCTTAACAGGATCCTTTTCCAGGAAACCTTGATAAGTAGAGAAAGTTTCAACCAAGCCAATGAACTTTGACAATGGCATAATCCTCCTACTCTTCAGACATTCATGCCTGTGAAAAAAATACACAGGAACTCAACTGTGAATATAAGTGTTTATTTTACATCATGCATGAAATAAATTTTGCATAACTAAGTATTTAGGCCCAATATTATTAATATTTACTTGTACTGTAGTTTTCCGCAATTGAAATGAATAATAATAAAGCTTTGCTACATTTGCATCAGATTTTTTCTCAGCACTCAAAGTTTAGTTTAATTAGTTTAATTAAACTAGTAAAAATAAGTAAAATAAGTTTAATTAAATTAGTAATATGGTTTTTGTGATGGCAAAATGTATTGTTTAACACAGAGGGCAAACTTAATGGAACAATAAAATTACTGTAAACTTTACATAATGTTACATGCTTTAATTAAATTAAATTTTTAAAAATCTATTTAAAATTAACTTACTTTATTGCCATAAATCAAAGTTAAAATTTTGAAAATAAAATTAAAAATATAAAATAATAAAAATAAAATTAAAAATATTAAATATAAAAAAAAAACGCACACTTACCACTCTTTATTCACATATAAAATTAGTAATATTGTTCTTGTGATTGCAAAGCTTAATGTTTAACACAGAGGGCATACTCAATGGAAGAATAAAATTACTGAAAAATTTACATAATGTTACATGCTTTACTTGCAGATTTGCAATTTAATTTAATTTAATATAATTTAAAAATAAACTTTAGATATTGCCATAAATCAAGGTTAAAATTTGGAAAATAAAATAAAATAATTTAATAAAAATAATAAAAAAATAATTAATTAAATAAATAAATAAATAATAAAAATAAAATCATAAAATAAAAATTAAAAAATAAATATAGGGTTACAAAAATTAAACACAAACTTACCACTCTTTATCCACAAATAAAATTAGTAATGTTGTTCTTGTGATGGCAAAGCTTAATGTTTAACACAGAGGGCATACTCAATGGAAGAATAAAATTACTGAAAACTTCACATAATGTCACATAATCACACAAATGCTTTACTTGGAGATTTGCAATTAAATTAAATTTAAAAATTTAATTTAAAATAAACTTAATATATTGCCATAAATCAAGGTTAAAATTTGGAAAATAAAACAAAAATGGTTAATTAAAAATAATTAAATAATTTAAAAATAATTAAATTAATAAAAAATAAATAATAAAATTAAAAATATAAATATGGGGTTGCAAAAACAAACACACACTTACCACTCTTTATCTGCATATGAAATAGAATCGTAGATGTTCTTGTAGACTTGGAGGGAACTGGACCCAATATAAGCTTTCCTAAAAGGATGCAGGGCTGCATAGAACTGAGAGCAAAAAAAATGAATAAAGGAATGAATGAATGAACAGTTTGCAGTCAGGAGCTGTAGTTCTGAAAAAATAATCAATTAAAATAATTTTTCATAAATCAAATTGGTGGCCTCATATCAAATATTTATAAAATGCTTTTACTGAGCAACAACTCATGAAGCATTTATTTATGAGTTCTTTAACCTCTTCACAGATATTATTGAGTTTTGAGGTGCTTTCTCCATATTCCAGCTCAAAGTCCATGGTGTAGCTGAGCAGAGCGAGGCAGCCGCCGGGCTTCAGAATCCTGTCCACCTCCTGCAGAAAACGAGGATGGTCAAACCAGTGAGCAGCGGACATGGAGGAGACCAAGTCAGCGATACTGTCCTCAAACGGCAGATCTTCAGCGGGGCTCTCTCTGTGGACATTCAGATCAGTGGATTATCTATCTATCTATCTATCTATCTATCTATCTATCTATCTATCTATCTATCTATCTATCTATCTATCTATCTATCTATCTATCTATCTATCTATCTATCTGTCTATCTGTCTGTCTGTCTGTCTGTCTGTCTGTCTGTCTGTCTGTCTGTCTACAGTTAAAGTCAAGATGATTAGCCCTATAATTTTAATAATTTTTCTAACATTTCCCAAGTGATCTTTAACTGAGCAAGAATATTTTTAAAGTATTTCCTATAATATTTAATTCTTCTGGAGAAAGTCTAATTTGTTTTAAAATTTTTCAAAATCACTTTTTAAGGTATATTGGTATACTGCTATCTTGCAAAATAACTAGCAAAATATTATGTACTGTCATCATGACAAAGACAAAGAATTTAGTTATTAGAAAATAGTGTGTGAAAAAATGTCTCTCCATTAAACAGCTCTTCGGAAATACTTTTAAATTCTTTAAAAATCATTGAAAGGATAAATAATTTGGAGAATTTAATTAAGATGCACAATACCTGCATTATAATATAATATATGAAATTTACAAAATAGGCATTGTTATTTAAATACAGGTTGCTGGGTTGATTTAATCCCCTAAAACTGACAAAACCATCACTTCTCTAGATTTATTATTTATAGATTATTTTGACAATGCAGTCTCTTAGCACTTTGTAATTTATTTATTTTTTTATTTTTTGATTGGTTTATTTCTAATTAATTTGTAAATCTCATTCATAGATTTTAGTACCATTTTCTCAACCCACAATGTGGGGATAGGGGTGGGGTTTGGAGGCAGGCCTCCTTTTAAGTTCGCAACTGCAGTATGAACCGCTATTCCAGTATATGTTTTACACAGCGGCTGCTCTTCCAGTTGCAACCCACTACTGTAAAACACCCATACACATTCATAAACTAGGCCAAATTTAGTTTATTCAATTTACTCATAGCGCATGCCTTTGGATTGTGGGGGAAACCCATGCTAACATGGGGAGAACATGCAAAACGCAACACAGAAATGCCAAGTGGCCCAGCCAGAACTCGAACTAGCAACCTTCTTGCTGTGAGGCAACAGTTCTAACCACTGAGCCACATTGATTAATGCCAATAATAGTATATTTATTTTTTTAACAACACAAGAGCAAATATTTTTATTTCAGCACATTATTAAACCAGTAGATTAACCACAACTTGTCCATCTTTTATTTTGTTATTTTATTTTATTTGTCTTTTATACACAGCTCAAAATGTATCTTCATTGACCAGAAAATGAATGAATGAATGAATGAAGGAATGAATGAATGAATGAAGGTCTTATTTTTCTTTTTGGGCTGAATCTGACTTCAACATATTATAGGTTTTATAACATCCATAATCCATCATGTAGCATGCAATGGCCATATACAGTAATGCACTTATCATACAGTGGTATGGTAAGTATGTAGGTCCTGGTGGTATTTTCATACCTGTAACATATATTTGCTGGATGATCTTTGTCACTGGCGATCTTCAGCTGAGCTGGACTGATGTCTGTCCCGACCACAGTCAAGAAGTACGGGGCGAGGAGCTCAGTGCCCTGTCCTGACCCACAGCCTACATCCACAGCCAGATCCAGATCCGTATTGATCTGTTCAGACAGAGAAATAACAAAGGCATACTGGTGGGTTTTCAAAAGGTAACTTCATTGTATCAGATGAAAAGACTTCAAAAATAATAATTAGTCTCTTTTCAAACCTTATGCTTCTTAGGCTACTTTATATGCAAGAAATTCAGAAGTAAGCTCCAGATATACAAAAAATAAATAAATAAAAGCTTTGGAGTCATATCATCTAAATGTAGCATTTTGAGAATTTCTTTAGTTAAATATTTATTAATAAAGTTTCAAACCTGCACAAATGTCAGTACAAATATTATAGAATTGCCATTTATTTAACATTCTTGCCATTTTAATAATGCAGCAATTGCAACTTTAAATATGAATCCTATTAAGATGACCCCTATAAACGTGTATACCCTTTAAGTTGAAACAAAGCAACAAGTGACCTATTTTCCTACTTTCTATGGACTTAGCATTTTCTAATAGAATACAGCAGGTCTCATCTACAGTAAATGTTTTATATAAGTTAAACGTCTACTTCACAGGTTTTGCCACAGTCAAGTTAAAGTTAAAACATTGTAAGAATACGAAAGTGCTGAGTCATTGACAAGGCTTTTCCAAACACAAATTTATCACATACTCTTTTTCGTAGGAAGTTTAGCACTTCGTCTATGAGTTCCTGAGGAGGAGAAACCCGGTGTCGCTGGTAGGATTCAACATGATCTTTTCCCTCAAAATGTCTCTGAGCCATTTCTTTCTGCTGGAGTCGCGTACGTCGACCTACTATATATCTGCCCCTACGGTCATTCATTAACAACACTTGACTTCTGTCTGTGAATTCCTGATTGAGTTCCTGAATTCAACTCAACTCATTTTCGACGTGAAGCTAATCAATATGTGACCTTGTAGCCTATGAGTAGTTTAACCCATAGAGCACTTGTAGCCTACTGTAATATAAACACTGATGGCTGATTTTGAGTATTTATTAAGCCTGTAGTTACTTTCAATACTACTGTACAGTTTCATTCCATCAAACTCAGTTACAGAACTGGTTTATTTACATCCCTGAGGAGACACTTTTCTAAAATTGCAAGAAACTTTACAAATGCATTAAGACCCCGCTTTTGTTGGAAATTTATAATTAAAATAAATAAATAATAAAAGTTGCACGTTTTCTGTTGATGCAATTTTAGACTAAAATATGTTGGCTATCCCTGCTGAAAAAAACAGCTTCCAGGCTAGAAGGTTGGTCGAGCCTGGTTTTAGAGGGGTTTTGGCCATTACCAGGCTGGGCTGGACAGGCTGGGAGATGACCAGCTAAAACTAGCTTGACCAGCTTAGCCAGGCTGGGAGCTCAGCCAAAACCAGCTATGTTTAACCAGGCTGGACATAGCTGGTAGCTGGTCATTCCCCAGCCTGACCAGCTAAGACCAGGCTGAAAATTGCTGAAACCAGCCTGGAAATGGGCAAAACCCTTTTAAACCCAGGCTGGTCAACCAGCTAAAACCAGCCAACCAGGCAGCTGTTTTTTTTTTTCAGCAGGGATAGCGTCAAAAAGTTTGCAGCTTCAGTAGTTTGACTGTTTTTAATAGTGCTTTACCTTCGACAATGGGTGTGGAAGGCTTCGAGCTTTTGAGTGTGTGTGTGTGTGTGTGTGTGTGTGTGTGTGTGTGTGTGTGTGTGTGTGTGTGTGTGTGTGTGTGTGTGTGTGTGTGTGTGTGTGTGTGTGTGTGTGTTTGTTTTAGTCAGAAAAAAAATTGTCTGTCTGTATATAGACTGTCTTTCAAAATAAACGTCTGCTGAAGTAAAAGGCTACAATAAAAAGAAAAATAAGTAGTATGAACAGCAGATGGCGCCATCAGACAGCACAATCCCTTCAGCACCAGTACTAAAATATGATTTTCCTTGCAGATAGACACAGACTACAATATGATTGCATTTTTTATGTAATTCCATAACCAATTACTTCGGATTCTGTTTGGTTTTTAACACTGTCAAGTTTCAATCACAACCTTAAAATAGACTATATATTTATTTTACATGTTTGAGCCTTATTACTCAATATTACACTTTATCTTTTGGAATAGTTACATCCCATAATGTACCCATGATAACTTCCATTAAACGGTAGGCTAAACAGTCATTATAATGTTATAAAATATGTTGATGCAAGGTGACACATTTTTCCAGTACTAAAAAAAAAAAAAAAGCTTAATTAACAAATTATTTTAAGGGGTGTCGCGGTGGCGCATTGGGTAGCGATGTCGCCTCACAGCAAGAAGGTCGCTGGTTTGAGCCTTGGCTGGGCCAGTTGGCATTTCTGTGTGGAGTTTGCATGTTCTCCCCGTGTTGGCGTGGGTTTCCTCCGCTTGCTTCCCCCACAAGTCCAAACACATGCGCTATAGGTGAATTGGGTAGGCTAAATTGTGCGTAGTGGATGTGTGTGAATGGGAGTGTATGGATGTGTCTCAGTGATGGGTTATTTAATTAATGAATAATACTCAGTTTAGTTAATCGAATAGTTACACTGTAACTACTGGACTTAAATTTGAAATAAAACGTAACAGGATTATTTGACATGATTTGTTTCAGTTCTTCTGAATGAAAGATCCTTTAACTGTTAATCATAACCTTCAATTTGAAACACAGTAGTCATGTGCGATCAACAAAAATACAAATAAAGCTCGACAACTGTCTTTCTAAACCTCACCAAATCAGCACATCACAAACAATCTGTCCAGTGCAACAATAGTTGTACCAGATTAGATTTGGTGCGCACTGATTGGCTGTATGATATTATCAGTGCCGCCCATTTACTGAGCACTCTGATGACTTGTGTTCGGCCGTCAAGTGATCTGCTCTGTTGACTTGACAGCTGCTGGACCGTCAATAAGTCAGAATGCTGGTCATCGGGCTGCCAATTCCCTAAGCCGCGCGGGTTTAAGGGTTTTAATTATTCATTGGTCACACGTCTGGTCTATACACGAATCAATCAGAGCAGCCTGTGTTTGGATGGGTTTATAGGTGTCAGGGCAAAGAGGCCTGGACCAGTGCACCTCAGCACTGCACAGCGCTGCAGATAAAATCAATCACTGCTGATCACATCAGTCTTTGCGTCCACTGCTACACCTGTCAGAGATAAACACACACACAGAGAATACACAAAAAGAGAATGCACTTTATTTTTGGGGTCAGTGATGTACTTTAAAATAGTGTTGCAAATGATTTTTATACTGTATGTGTGATTATATTTTTCAAGTTTTTGAAGTGTATTGCAGGTCTTATGAGTAAATACTCAAGATAAAGTGGAACACTCAAGTAATTGCAGTCTACTGTTAATAGTGTAGCTATTAATAGTGTAGTAAAAATAACTAATTACCTTTTAAGGGCAGACATGTTGAGCTATGAATGAATGAATGAATGAATGAATGAATGAATGAATGAATGAATGAATGAATGAGATTTTCCATTTGGGTTTTGAAAGTAAAAAAAAGACTAATAACCTTTCAAGAGCTGACATGTTGAGCTATGAATGAATGAATGAATGAATGAATGAATGAATGAAGTAAAAAAAGTTTTGAAAGTAAAAAAAAGTTTGTAAAAATAACTAATTACATTTTAAGAGCTGACATGTTGAGCTATAAATGAATGAATGAATGAATGATTTTTCATTTGGATTCCGAAAGTAAAAAAAAATGTTTGTAAAAATAACTAACTGTATTTTAAGAGCAGACATGTTGAGCGATGAATGAATGAATCAATCAATCAAATTTTTATTCGGATTCTGGAAGTAATAAAAAACAAAACAAAAATGAAATACCTTTTAAGAGCAGACAGGTTGTGCTATTAATGAATGAATGAATGAATGAATGAATGAATGAATGAATGAATGAATGAATGAACGAATGAATGAACAAACAAACGAATGAAATAGATTTTTCATTTGGATTCTGAAAGTAAAAAAAAAGTTTGGAAAAATAACTAATTACCTTTTAAGACCAGACATGTTGACCTATGAATGAATGAATAAATGAATGAATGAATGAATGAATGAATGAATGAATGAATGAATGAATGAATGAATGAGATTTTTCATCTGGGTTCCGAAATTAAATCATGTTTTTTTTTAAAATAACTAATTGCCTATTGAGAGCAGACATGTTAAACTATGAAGGAATGAATCTGAATTTTCATTCAGATTCTGGAAGTAAAAAAAAAAATTATAAAAAAAAATACCATTCAAAAGCAGACATGTTGAGCAATTAATGAATGAATTAATGAATTAGAAAATCGTGCATGAATTTAAATACATTATCTTTCTATTTTTAAACATGTTTAGTAGAAGTAGCGATGTCGCCTCACAGCAAGAAGGTTGCTGGTTCAAGCCTCGGCTGGGTCAGTTGGCATTTCTGTGTGACGTTTGCATGTTCTCCCTGTGTTGGCATGGGGTTCCTCTGAAACTAAGAAATAAACAATGGCAAATATCACAGTGCATTACTGTCCTACAGTAAAATCCAGTTTATACCATAGTTAAATACCATGTAGTTTGCTAAACTCATTAACAGTTTACCTGCTTCATCAAACCAGATGTTATTCATTTGGCTACATTTGATACAATCATCCAATCAACCTTTTCCTACATCTGACTAACTCTATGTTTCTATTAAAGAAAACACTTTTGAAGCACTGTAGGAGAGGGTTACAAGCACACACACTTTATTTTACACTTTTATTAAACCCTTTTACTCATAGGCATAGGCTCACAGGCCTTCAAATAGCAAAGTGTCCTTTAGCAGTGTATGTTTTAGAAATCGAGAGTCATCAGACCTTGTGCAAAGATGGTAGATTCTTTCACACTGAAATGCAGAAGAACTTTACCATCGACAACACAAAACAGCAATTTCACAAGTAATGTCGTTTCCATTCAGCCTTTATTTTTTAATGTGTTCCTGAATGATGCCACCCTTCATAAAGATCGACGTCATCATCATGAACGTTAAAATAGGACAATAACTTTTTATTGCAAAGACTTCATTCCTGAGTGCATAAAGCACTTTTACAAATAACTTTCTCAAAGGCCAGTTTTATGAATACATTAACATCAAAACTAATGGCCAATATCTTGATGTTCCTCTGGTTATTGACACCGGAACATTCCTATTTGTTCATATACAGACGCTCCAAAAAGCCAGCCGTGCAAGAAGAGGAAAACGTCTTTCTAATGAGCAGGCTTGTATTAGATGCTCAGGGTTAGTGATTTGAACAACCTGCTTTGGCTCAAACTCAAACTGATACAGATCTGAGTGATTTGTCAAATCACAAAACTTCTTATCACATTTTTATTTTCAAAGCTGAAGATGGATGGATGGGTGGGTGAGTGGGTTGTGGGTGGATGGATGGATGGATGGATGGGTATGTGGGTTGAATGGATGTATGGATGGTTGGTTGGTTGATTGGTTGGTTGGTTGGTGGACGAATGGATGGATGCATGGGTTGGATGGTGGGTGGACGAATAGACGAAAGGATGGATGGATGGATGGGTTGAATGGGTTGGTTGTCGTATAGATGGATGAACGGGTTGAATGAGTTGGTTGGTTGGTTGGTTAATTGATTGGTTGGTTGGTGGAGGGATGGACGGATGGATGGGTTGTATAGTTGGTTGGTTGATGGATGGATGGATGGATGGTTGGTTGGTTGGTGGACGGATGGACAATTAGCTGGATGGATGGATGGATGGATGGATGGATGGATGGATGGGTGGATGGATGGGCTGGTTAGTTGGTTGGTTGGTTGGTGGACAGATGGATGGATGGATGGGTTGTATAGTTGGTGAATGAATAGATCGATGTATGGATGATTTGTTCATTGTTTGGTTGGTTAGTGGGTGGATGGATGGACGGATGGATGGACGGATGGATGAATGGATGGATGGATGGATGGATGGGTTGTATGGTTGGTTAGTGGACAGATGGATGAATGGATTTATGGATGCTTAGTTGGATGGTGGGTGGGTGGACAGATTTATGGATGCTTAGTTCGATGGTCGGTGGGTGGACGGATGGATAGATGAATGGTTAGTTGGTGGATGGATGGATGGATAGATGGGTGGTTGGTGAATGGATGTATGGATGAATGGATTGATGGACTGATGGATGGATTTTTGCATGGATGGATGGAATAGAATGCTAATAGAATAAAAATGGATAGAATAGAA